ATGAACATTAACGTAGAAAAAACAAAGTATGATTCCTCAGGTTCTCCGAGGGCGCGTGAGGAGGGAGGGGCGTGTCGCCAAGCGCGTCGCAGATCAGAGGGTCCGCATCCTCCGCTCGAGTACCACCTCCCCAGGTCTGCAAGCGCGTGCTCGCGCTCGGATCGAGCGGGGCTGCGCGCGCAGTAAACGACCCCGCCCCCAAGGCGCGCGCACAGCCACGCCCCCTTCTCGGTTCCCTCGCGAAGTCTTTTCCACGATGGTTGCAAGATTAAGGGCGGGGCCAGGAGGGCGCAGGCGCAATTTTATACTCCTATTGTAGTTATTCCCCAAGGAACTGTCTACTAATAATTTGGTATCTTAGGAAATTTCTTTTGTTCTGATTGCTAGTTAAACTTCTATGATTTAGCTTTTAATAAGTGGCTTATCTTTCCCAGTTAGATAATAAAGGCTTTACCCAAACAACCTAGTTTTATATGAGAGTTGAGGGGGATACATTATTATATATCAGGCAGTAGGTGCTATATTTGCTGGTGCTTCTTATAGTGTGATATGTCTAGCAGTCCATCTATGGGGCACACAAATTCCATGATTTTACAGAGATGATTGCTTACGTGAAGGCTAATGGGGAGATAGGGTCCAGGTGGGTTTTCTTCTAGTTGATTTAAATAAAATATTAAATAAATAGTGGTTCAAGTGATGTACTCAGTTATGGCAAAAACTGTAGAAGTGGTCTTTAAGTGACTGAAACAATTTTATTTGATACCACATTTATTCCTTGTAATAACCTTGCAAATTAGAAATGTAAGTCCAGAGAAATGTTGGGACTTATTCAAGGCACAAGGCTAATAGGTTGTGGTGCAGGATTCAGGTGGAATACCTAGATTGCTGACAAAAGTGCTCCAAGTTCCCTCCTCCTCACCTTGACCTTGATGCCCCTTTGCATATAGAAAGATTTAGTTTAATTACTTAAATGTGTCTGACTTGTGTTTTTATACTCTACCTCATCTCCTCAAAAATATTTACTTTCTCAACTAAATTCTTCACCTCCAGAAAAAGAAAAGGGGCACCAGAATGAATTTACTGGGTTTCTAAGCATATTTATTAAACATACAAGAAAAAGGACCCGATTTCCTGCTTAGCTGAGTGAAACATTAATTCTTCACTTTGGCACCTCAACCTACAGCTGTAATAAGGGTGGTTATGCCCAAATAGGCCCTTAAACGGAAGACCTGCTGAGCAGAGACCCACTTTCCCAGCCCTGCTCAACGGTGTCAGCGTTTCTGCCAACTGACCAGGCTGGAGCAGCAGCAGGGGAGGAGGGACGTTAGGTAGGCGGGGAGGGGATCATTCTGAAAGCCCTAAATCCCTCGCAGGGAAGAAGCAGCTGCTCCTTGTTTTTCTAACATCTGTCCCATCTGTCCCCGGCTGCATTTCACCCTTTGGAGGTTTGAGCGAGCTGAACGTGGACACGACACGGAAGCATTTCTGAAGGCTGGTGGGTGAGTGGAAATGTGCATACTTTCCTCCCGCTTGTTGGGGTTAGGGTTAAGTAAAAGGCGTCGGGTTCGCTCTCGTCCATTTGTGGCTGGCAAACATTTTCCTCTTCGACGCGGCAGGGCTCTTCCTCGTCATTCCTATTTTTCGTCCCTTTGGGACACTGCTTTAAATATCTGCAGCCCAACTTAAAAACAAATCAGAGGATCCAACACTGTGGCAAGAGTTGGGACCCCCAAGGTCTTGCCCCGTGCTACTCTGATTTCCATTTGCACCCCCACTTTGGTTTACCGCGGAGTTTGTTTGCCTCGAATTCTCGCCCTGACCTGACCGAAGCTCGCCTGCACGGTCGTCGCTGTAAACTGTGTTAGGGAAGTTATTTCCCTGCGGCGCCTTTGCTCTGGGCTGTTATGTAAGAGTATGGTTGGAACTTCATTTTTAGAGGGGATGGTAGTGGGTCTAGTCCCGTCCCTTCGTTTTGTAGATACGGAAACTCAAGGTATTGGGAAGAGAACTGACTTCAAATCTTTGGAGGTTAGAAATGAAAAAGTCACTTTGGTGTGGCCTAAAGGAGAACGGAAAATACGTGTAGCCTTCAACTAGTAACATTTATTGAAGAGTTCATTATCAAGCTAAGTATTCTCAGTTATCCAACAATAGGGTGGGAATGGTAGATACTATCTCCATTTTAGGGATTATGAAACGAGGTAGAGAGAGAATCGGGGAGCACTCTACGTTGAAGCACAGAGAATTTCCAGAACACCTAACGATCCTCCCAATTTGGGGCCAGATGATTGGATCAGGCTTTAACAATTGATCCAGCAGGTTGGAGTTGGAGAAGAGGTGGCAGAATGAGCGAATGTATAGGCAGTAAAGTTCAGTGTGTGATTTTTGGTGGCAGGGTGAATATCTTGATTTGGGGGTAGTAAGGTGTAAATAAGGGTGGGTAAGAAAAGTTCAGGTTGGAAAGTAGGTTAAACCAATGTAATTCGAGTGTTTCTGATTTGCAAGTGACAAAGTAACCTCCTACAGATAAGGAAGCCCATCCCAGGTTAAAGACTTCCGTATGTCTGTATTTCTGAATTAAGATGGATAAGGACATTTAGAAGAAATCTTCATATTTGCTGTCTCCACTTTTTTACTGTCCAGTTATTCTTTTTGTATCATTAATATAAAATCACATGAGCAACACTGTGGTTACTAGATTCCCCCCATTATCAAGTCCCTACCACATAACCCATTACAGTCACTGTCCATCAGCATATTAAGATGCTATTGAGTTACTGCTTGTCTTCTCTGTGCTATAGTGTCTTCCCGGTGCCTGCTCCCCAACGTTCTGTGTGCTACTAATAATGCCCCTTATTCCCCTTCTCCCTTCCTTCCCACCCCACTCCCCACCTCCAGGCCCTTTCTCTTTGGCAACTGTTAGTCCATTCTTGGGTTCTGTGAGTCTGCTGCTGTTTTGTTCCTTCAGTTTTTGCTTTGTTCTTGTGCTCCACAGATGAATGAAATCATTTGGTACTTGTCTTTCTCCGTCTGGCTTATTTCACTGAGCATAATACCCTCTAGCTCCATCCATGTTGTTGCAAATGGTAGGATTTGTTTTCTTCTTATTGTCCAGTTATTCTTAATCCACTCCAATCTTGTGGTGTGCTGAAAACACACAGCTCATTGCTGGCAGAGCCAGGTCTGGATAGAACTCATATAATTTCCATTTCCAGTCCAGTGCTATAGACCAAGCCACCATTTGAGTATTTATTGATTAAACAAATACTTGAGTGCCCATTATCTGTCATGTGCTGTTCTAGGCTGTAGGGACAGATGAGATCCCTGCTCTGAATAGAGCTTGTATTGTAGTGGTAGAAGGAAGAAGTCAACCACCCCTACCACTCCGAACACCCTTTGACAGATTGTGATGCCCATGTAGAAAGCAAACGGTGTCACGTGGTAGATGGTGAAGCGAGGATTACTTTAGATAGAGCAGCTAGTCAGGAGCTCTAGGAGTAAGTGTCATTTGAGTTGGAATCTGAAGGATGAGAGGAAGCAGTCTTGGGAAGAGGTAAGGAAAGTGTATGCTAGGCAGAGTAGCAAACACTTAAAATATTTGATGGGAATGAGGGCCAGAGTGTGGATGAGATCCATAAGGAAAGATGTTGGGAAATTAGTCAGGAGCTAGATGCTTCCAGGCCCTGTAGGCTACGGTAAGAAAGCATTTAGACTTTTCTTGATGTTATCAAAAGCTTTTAGAGGCTTTTAAAGAAGTCAGTGACATAAAATTGGTGTCTACTCCCCTGGCTGCAATGGTAGCATGCATAGTGGAAGGAAGGGTCCTGAGTGAAAGCAGTGAGACAGGTTAAGAGATGGTAGCAGTGATCCAGGCTAAATATATTAGTATGTTGGCCTGGGATGATACTAAAAAAGATGGAAAGAAGTATGAAGCTTCAGTAGATCTTTTGAAGGAGCATTTGACAGGACCTCCTGTTGCGCTGAGTAATGCTGATGAGAAAAGGGAGGCATTAAGGATAATTCCTAGGCTTTTTACTCTGCACCTGGGTGGCTAGGGGTGGTCAAATCTACAACTCTATCATTGGAAACTTTGATAACAGCAGGGATAGAAGCAAAATTGGATGGGAAAGTAAGAAGGTAGAGTCAGAAAGTAGGAAGATTTTTAAAACATTTCCTTGTCTGTTTATAAATTCTGGAATACAAACATATTGCAGCTAGCTTTAAAAAAATTTTTTTAACTCATTTTTGTGAGGGTCATAGGTTCACATTTGGTATTTCTCTTTTCACAGTCCACAATGGTGTACACCCACACTGAGTATTTTCTGAGTAGATGAATAAGATAGTTGTGCCAAATGAGGTTTACACAGCAAAATCTGTTTTCCCATTGGTTTATGGTAGACTTAAAAAATCTTTGTACAAGTTTGATCTTTATTGGAAAGCAGCTTTTAACTTTGTAGGGTGCATTTCCCCCCAAGAAATTGAACCCAACAGCAAAATGTAGTTACATACTTATACATAGTTTTATTTAAACTGTTTTCCATTTTGCTGACATAGAGGTGATAGCACTCTTTATGAGTTTATCAGCCATAATCCTAATCCTGTTCATTATTTTCTGTTTGAATGCAGGGAGAAAAAGCTGGAGAGAGTCCAAAACACCCAGGAAATGTGGCTGAGGAGAGAGATGAAATTTTTAAAAAATACTGGTGCTTGGGTTGTATTCCCAGATACTGCAGTTTAATTTGCCCAAGCTGCTGATATTTTAAAAGAGTCCATAGACAGTTCTAATATGCAGAGTAGAAGAGAACCATTGTTGTGAACTCCCCCCAGTCTTGACTTATTCTTCAGCTTTGTTTTCTTATCAGTGTAATCTTCTCTCTATTCCCAGAGGAAATTATCCCTACATCTTTAGCCATAAATGGGACCTTTGATCATAGAGTAATTATTCAGAAGTATCCAGTGTACCTCATTCTCCTATAATAGCATGTAAGTGTAGTCTTACTCCAAGTTAAAACTTTACTGATTTATAATCCTTCCTACAAGGATTGTATATTTTAAAAATCCAGCCAATTTAGGAGATTGAAAATTTAAGAAGTTGTTTATTTTGAATGCAAATACAAAATGAAGATTTTCTTCAACTTGTTAATTAGTGAGGGAACCAGTAAAATGGAGAAAACAGCCCAAAAAAGCATTTGAGAAGCTAGATAACAAGACAGTTTCATAGATTGCTGGGTTAGATAAAAATTTACTAATTCATATCACTGTCATAAGCTGTAATCTTTTGGGGTTAGCTTTTCCACTGGTTAGAAATTATTTCTGTCTCTATTTGGCACATTAACCTCTGCCCCTAACAAGTTGTAAAATAGCCCAGTAATGGGAAGTCATGCCCGTTACTGTTCTGAAAGAACACTCAATTTTGCCTTTGCTATTTCCAGATTCCAGGTAAATCTTATGACATTATATTCCCAGATGAAAACCCACAGGAACTTGGGCTCTTGATAATTTTGATTTCTCTTTCTAGTAACTAGAAGAAATTCCTCTCTCCATTTTTTTCTCTTCTATCTTCTCAGCCGGAAAGGTAGTTTCCCTTCCCCATCAATTAGTGTGGGTTTGTTCTCTACTTCTGAATGCAGGACGATGGCAGCATGAGAGAGGTTTCCGTGTGTATGTGTGCATGCACATATGTGTGTGTGTGTGTGAGAGAGAGAGAGAGAGAGACAGAGAGACCTTCTAATGAAGGGGAGGAAGGTAGAGTTATAAGGCTTATGGGGTGGAAAGTAGGGTCAAGAATTTCAAGCCAAACCCTGTGCAAATGTTTAAGGTGTGTGTATGTTGGGAGGATTTCATTATGGCAGCTCTTGGAGTATTTGCGTCACACGGGTTCCCTTTACAGTTCCTATGGGGATGTACATAGATTAGCTTTAGGGCTGCTAGCATTTGTATTCAGTGGAAAATTTTAATTTTTAGTATTTAAGCAGATTTGAAGAATCTTTTTTCTGAGCAGCATATGACTAACACATAAAAGGTTATGTAGTTGATTAGAAAATTTTGATATACTGCTTCTATCTCTGGTTTCCTCGTAGACTTTAGATTGGTAGTTCAGAGCTAAAAATCTGTTTAACTTATACATTTTACATACTTGTAAACTGAAAGTATTTTTGCAGTAGAAAATACATTGTTGTTGCCTCACTAGATTAATTTAACAGTCCATCAGTGAGTTGCATTTTGGAATTTAGGAAATGCTGGCTTAAGTAAAGAGCATAAGAAAGACAGCAGAGTTGAGATAAAAAAGGAGTGTGTGCTGTGGCCATTGAGGGGTTTGAGTGTGAATCATGCAAGGTTTTGAAAGCCATTTTAAGGGGTTTGCATTTTATCCTAAAAACAGTGGATAGACTGCAAGTTTTTAAGCAAGAGTGACAAGTAGAACTTCCCTTCATTTTGTGTTTATCTGACTTTTGGTTAGATTGGGTTATGTGTTCTCAGCCAAGTACCACAGGAGTGGAGATGTGTCTTTCTCGGGGTGTCACATCCGGAAACGTGGTGTCTGTCTCTCATGAGTGGCATAATTTTAATAATTCGGTCAAGGTCTTGTTCCATTTCTTTGCCATGTTTTTCCTCTGGTAATTAGTAAGTAATCTATAGGGAGACCATTTAAGACCAGGCAAATGTCTGTTCCTCATCAACTAGTTCCCTTTGTTGTAGCCTCCAATGATGATTTTTGCCTGGTTCAGTCTTTCCTATGATGGTTGCAAAATGATTATTTTCTGCCTTCAGCATTCTTTACACATTTATTAGATGGTTGTTGACATTTTGCTGTAAGCAAATGTCACTTTGTTTCTTGCTTATTTATTACAAATGTATTACTGGTGTGGACTCAAGACTTCCTTTTTTTAAATGGTTTGTAATTTGCTACTGTATGTAATATTTTGGTGCTCACATTTTCCCAGATTTGGCCAGTGAGAGTTCCTTCACACGAACTTATGGGTCCTTGTGAGACAGTCCCATCCTTTTTTTGGGCATCTTTTTTTCTCACACAGCATCTTCCTGGCTCATCTTGTACCTATGCTGGCCCATCCACAGAATTAGTCACATCTCTGATAAGCACCAGTTCCTTTGTTTGGGCTCAATATTAGAGAACAAGACCTGAGTGTCAGGTCTGGGTACCACCACTTGGGTGTTTTACTTGCAAGTGATTTATTAATGGAGTGTTCTCAGGAAAAAGCCTGTAAGGGAGTGAGGGGACCAGGAGAGGGAAGGGAGGAAGCTGAGCATGTTGGTTTCAGGGACGACTGTCTCAGCCTGATCAGCTCTCGTGCACCATAGAGAGTGAGGTTTGTCCTGCTTTGGAGGCAGGGAGCTGGGCTTTCGTGCTGTCAGTCCTTGCCCACTGCAGAGGTTGGGAGGGGGCAACGGGAAGGAAAAGGGCAAAGTGCTACCGTGCCCAGGGGCAGCCCTGAGAAGTTGCAGGTGAATGCTTCAGCATTCATTCCTGCTGGAGTGATACCAGCTCTATCCTAAAAATGATTTAGCTGAGTCTTTTAGGAACTTTAGTATGGGCAGGTACGAGAGTTTGGTGAGTGGTAGGTCCGGTAAGAGAGATGCTTGCTCACATTTATCTAAACACCCCCCAGCTGTGTGTACTGTATCCAGATGTAAAGTATTGTGGGATTGTGATAAAAAAACTTTGAGTAACATGTGCCTAAAATATACCTAACTGTTTTGTTTGTTTTTGCTTCTAGACCATTTGACATGTTGCTTCTTGGAATTTTCCCTCTCTTTCCCATCCCCAAATCTGTCTAGTTCTTGTTCATCTTTCACACCTCACTTTAGAATAAGTTTCACAGGAGGCTCTCCCTGATGGTCACCACCCCTCAACCTTTCGAAACAATTTTTAAAATACCACCAAAGTATAACCTGGCTATAGAGTTTCTTTCATTGTAGATCTTGAGTTTGTTCCTTGGGAAATACAGTGAAATATACAGAGGTAATAATGTCTGTATGTATCAGAGAATTTGAGAGATGAGGAAAAACATGATGTGGAGAGTGGGATGTTACCTGTGTGGTAAAGAGTGGCTGTTTTTCATGTGGCTTCACTTCTCTAACTAAATACAGTAGCATCTAGGTGATTGGAAAGGAGCCAGATAATCACACCTACAGGGCAAAAGGTTGCCCTCAACCCCAGAGGCGCTGTTGCATTTGGGAATTGAGACTCTTTCAGACTTTGCCATTAACCTCAGGCCCTTAAAGTATTCTTAATGGCTGATCTGAGGTTTGAGGATGAGGGGTAGGGAGAGTGAGATCTGATAACTCCTAAGGTTGCTTTTAAGTCTTGAACTTAGATGATTTTAAATACTTGCTTTTAGTTTCAAGGAATTCTTGACTCAGTACAGAAAGTTCACAGAAAAAGAAGTAACTTCAAGTTTATGTTTCATTGACTGGATTAGCATCATTTTTTTTTGTATAGGGTTGTTAATAACATATTTGTAGAAATGTCTAGATACGTAGATGTGAAAAATATCACATTCTACCGGATATAAGTGGACCAGACAAAGCTGTGCCCAAGTAAGAACATTTATTCCCAAGTTAACCTTCTCCCCACCATCCCCAATTACATTTAACGTTTTCAATTAAAGAGACTAGGGGAAAAATATTAAATTTTTTTATGTATATGCACATTGATTTATTATATATAGTT